CATAAGAATTGTTTTATTTGAGGTACTCCTTTCAATCTTCAAATTGTTTGGCAAAGCAATAATAATATATTTTTAAAGCAAATAGGCTTCTACTTGAACCTGTCATTCACTGTAAACCAAACGCTGGTCATGAGGAAAATACGTTCAGAGAAAAGTATGGGAATGCACATGAGGCCCATACACAGGCAGTCACATCAAGATTGAGAGATGGTTGTATCATTGTCCGAATATATCTAGTTGCTGTTTGCATTGTTCTATGAATGCATATCAGTTTCACAGAGAGGGAAAGAAGCAAAGTCACTGAAAGACCTGCAAGATGAAGTTCAGGACCAGTAGAGAGAAGGGCAGAATGAAACAGAAGCAAAAGATTGGAATGGGAACAAAGCCAGATCCAACTCTGAAAGGCCCCAGCAAAATGCCCTCTGCTGGACCACCATATATCCGGACAGGTCCACTCATGCTTATATGGCAGTGGGGAGGTAGCAGAACACCAAGGACGGCTGAGAACTGCCATTTTAATTTCCCATCAAGCCCTGGGGTGTCCAGTTTACTGTCACTCTAGAGCATTTGTGGGAAATCAAAATGAGAACTTGAAGACTCAGGTAACTGATGTTGAGGGCCTGCGCAGATGTCAACATTGGCAGATGTTTCTGGGGTGGCAGGAGCCAGAAATTGCCCTAGAATTCCCAATGCTGACACCAGACCTGAGAGGAAAAAATCATTCCCTTTTGTAGCATATCATAATGCCTTTATATAATTCTGTGGTTACCTTTGCACAGAATTACCTACATTAGGTACAGTTCTAATTACTCCTTCTCAACAATAGTATAAGTCAAATTGAAAGGTTACAAAAAGTGCTGCCCAAATTGTTCTGCTTTGAAAAGCAGGCACTCTGTTGCAGTCCTACAGTTGACCAGTGAAATGATCCACGGGCTGACACTCCTTACCTATGTGGGGCAGATAATGTTGCTTAATTTGGAGGGGTCTGTATGGTATGCCGCACCTGAAGAAGGCAAAACTCGCTGGAGAAGGCCATCACGCTAGGGAGAGTTGCAGGCAGAAAAATAAAAGGGAGACCAAATATGATATAGATCGGCTCCCTAAAGGAAGCCACAGCCTGGAATTTTCATGAGCTGAACACAAAATGCGTAGGACACTTTCATTCATAGGTTCGGCATAAGCTGGAGACAACTTGATGACACATAACAACCACAACAGCATGTCATATGCATGGTGAAGAGAAAGCAGGCACAGAAAATGTTAGCCCTCACAATTCTAGTTCCCAGGATTACCCAGAAAAATTAATTGGAAACACGTTTGGGACTGAAGAAAGAAAGTGTTTCCTCGCACCTGAATTCACTGGGAGTTTGTTTTCCCACTTGTTTTCCTGACATTGTTCCAGTGCTGACTGCATTCATTCTGGGCTATTTTCCTCCACAATAGTTTACTCCTCAGTAGTTTGAGGAAAGTCCATGGCATGCAATTCTATTATGTTCGATGCCAGTGGCCAAGGTTGGGACTTGCTATTGTCAGCAGCAGGCAAACAACGGGTTATTTGAGAAGGAGAGTAATAAACTGCACCCTGGGAAGAAATAAATAGATTGGCCTGTGTTTAAACTTGTGGCCACTCCCAGGACATTTTTGTGATATTTGAATTGTCCTCTTTGAAGAAAGCCCTGATCAAAGCAAGTTTCCAGTGGTCTAAGGGAAAATCTTCTGGGGATAATCAGTTGACATCCTCCTTTTTGTCACCTTGAAGTTTAAGCATTATTAACAGAAAGTGACAGGCAATGAAAAAAGCAGACCTAAATGAGAGAGGGAGGCGTTCTGTCAAGGCCAACAAATACTCCTACTCACTCCTGTCACGACCTTTTTTTACCTGCATTGTGTATGCAAATTCAATACTGGCAGGCCTTGCCGAGGTGAGAGAAAAGTGCAGTCTGGACTGTTTAAAATTGGAAAACTGCAGCCAAGCCCGAAGGAAAACCATTGTGGTGGAATATTTATGCCAGCTGTCTTTAAACACATCTAGTATTTTTACTGACAGTGTTTCTGTTGGTCTGCTTGCTAACAATGGCTACTCGTCTTGATGAACATCTGTTACCTGGAGTATCAGTGCCACTTGCTGGGGAACATGGTCAGGATGTGCTATTCATGGGCTCCCCATTGGAACATCTGGTTGGCCGCCCTGCAAGCAAAAGCCGGGGCTAGACGGCCTTTGGACTGGTCCAGCTGGGCTCTTTTCATGTTCTTTAGTGTGAGGCTTCTTGGAGCTTGTTGGAAAAAGAGTGAGGCATGAGAATAAATCACTGTAAGCAGGGTAGAAGCTAATGAAAGGAAAGTCTATTTTTTGTGTCCTGTTTCAGTGTTCAGAATATATTATGCAGCAGGGGAAATGCTCCCACCCTGGATTTATAAAATGGAAACACGCTGAAAGTACATCACTTGATAGGATTGCTCTCTAGTGCAGGGGCAGCACCTCAGGTCCCTGACCCAAATCTGTCCCTCCTGCCCATCCCTTTTTTCAAGCCAGGGATTGTTCATTGCCTTCCCAACTTTTATACAGTGTATCCCATTCTAAAAGGTTGAAATGTTTCTCCTGAGGCTTAGGAACTGACAGTAAGAGCTTTACTCTGAAATATGTTGGTATTTTGGCTCTGTCCCCTTCAGCCCCACCTACCGCTGGGCATGTCTCCAAGTTAGAATTCAATCCTCCAGCCTGAAAGAGCTTCAGCACCTTCTGAAGTTGTGGGGGTGATCCATACTGGGACCAGACTCGTGTACATTTTCCTGGTCATGGAACTGTATGTGCTTATGTGAAAGCGTGAGAGCGTTTGTATATGTGTGAGCAAGGAAGAGAAACTAGTATTCCTGGTTCCAGTTACAAATCCCTCCAGATTCTCTCCAAAGGCATTGTCACATCCAGGGAGGGTTGTTTTTTTTTTTTTTTTTTTTTTTTTTGGGACTAATTACTTCTGTGGACAGAGTGCTGGCTGTGGTAATTAATTATTCCTAAATACGGCAGAAGGCTTCTGTGGGGCTTCACAGCCTTACACAGTTTACGCTAAATCAAGCCTTATGGGGTAACTTGTTGTTTAATTATGAAAGATCACAGGACACCCTTGGCTTATAAATTAAAAAAAAAACACCTTTTCTCCAGCCTGCTTCTGTTTAATGCTGTCCATCCATGGCTCAGCTGAATGATTGCTTCTCTAAGCAAATATGACCGCACAATATTTACCGGTTACTAATGGAGGGCGTTGCTGGAATAAATGGTTTGGGAACTTGTGTTTCTCTGAGAAACAGAAGTACTTAGCTGTTCAAGGATTAATGCACCATAAGGAAGTAGTTGATCTGTGTCTTCGACCCCACACATTCAAGACAGAGATCCTATTAAATGTATTCAGATGCAAAACCCATTGAATGAATTTGTTACACATGGGGTTTGGCTGAATGGGGTTGTTTTCACCTGTGTCTTACTGCTGCATTTTGTAAATTTCCTGTATCAAGTTGCATAAGGTTCCAGATTGCAAAATGTAAATGACAGGGGAAAAAATAGCTCTTTCTTCCTCTAGGAGCATCTCACTTTCTTAGACACAGTGGCACTGGCAAGGCATAACAGTAGGTGACAATGATGTCTTAGACATAGATATTGGTATATTTCTGCTGAAATAAACTAAGGGCTGAAATGAAGCTAAACACATCCTTTAAACTAATCTTATTCTGGTTATGGGTTCCTCCAAATACATGAGAGAATGTATTTGGAGGAACCCAAATGAGGATCGTTTTTCCTCATGAAATGAAGAATTTATTGCTGAAGATCTCTAATATGCAACCACAGTAGCCATACTTCCTTGTCAGTAAAACTTGAGAATGGATGAATTCCAACTCTGTTGTACAGGCCTGTGGTGCTTGAGACCTGTCTACCTTACTTCCAGCCACCAGCAAAATATGGTAGTCTTCCCAAACAGGGATAAATGTTGTCTTCTGCCTGAACTACCAAAAAACAGCAAAGCTTTCAACCTAGCTGGCCACAATGCGCTCTGCGGTATGTGTCACAAATTGTGCAGATCTCATAACTGAGCGCAGTATCTGACTTTGTCATTCTGTTGGCACAACTAACATCACACTAGCTGAAACTCAACTTTTGTTAGTTGCGAAGTCGCGACTTGCATTAAACTTGCTCAACCCTATTGAGCAACCTCTTGTGCAACAGAAAGATTTGGTGGCACCCTGCCAGCACTATTTGAGTTTATACAATGTTGGATACTGCCCTGAGTTGTGAACATGGCATTTTCTTATGTTGCCTGGGGAGTAGATTTAGCTTTACACATTAGTGAATGCAGTTTGGTCTAAACAGGGGCTGTTCTCATCTTTCTTCAATGGCATTCTTTCTCTGCGTAGAAAACAGAAAAGCTGTTGCTGCTGACACTTTAAATGCTCCGAAGTGCTATACAAACTGTGAGATGCACCCTGGTGATCATGGATTGTGGATAAGGAAAAGAGCTTCCTGAGCCAGAACAATATGGATTAACAAGAGGGGACCTGGGAAGGGTTAAACCAAGGGACATGCAACCTCAAAGCGCAAGCTCACCACTCCTGCATTTCAGTTCCCTGCTGGCAGTGAAGAAAGCCTCTTCTCCCATCACTGCCAAAAATGGTATTTGCAGTGGGAAGGAATGAGGCAGAGTTCTGCATGTTTCTCTGGAGGGCAAGGGGATCTGTGTCCCTTGTAGATAGACCCTCCCCTCCTGCCTGCCTTGTATTCAGGGTCCCCCAAAGGAAACCCCACTTTACTAACTTCAGGAGAGTGATACTGCTCGGAGGTCATGTCACCGGCAGCGTGACAGAGCAATGTTAAGTGAGCCTTGCTATTGGGGTTCAGTAGGGCTTGATGTTTCGAGCTTGAAGTGCGCCTGAACCGCTTGAGAAAGAGCAGAATGCAGTTGCATCTCCTTTACGTTCTCTTCTGTCTGTGTTCTTGTAGCCACGGGGGTACTGACGTAGCTGAAATGAGAAAAAGGCAACAGGCACAAAATGAAGAAACATCTGCTGTGTCTCAAGCACCTGGAAACCAAAGGCCCAATAACACGTGTTGCTTCTGCTGGTGTTGTTGTTGCAGCTGCTCATGGTATGTCACGGAGTCAGTTCAGTTCTGTGTCCAGCACAAGTAAATTACTACCAAAAATGAACAGTTGCCAGGCAGACATAAACCAGTCTGGGACTTTTTCTGTCTGATCAGGTTATTGCATGATGAATACTCATTTGGTGCTCATTGGTGGTTCATAACCCACATGTCTTCCCTCACTTTTATTATGTTTATGTTGCTCCTTTTTGGAACCACTAACAATTGTATTTTGAACCTGGTAAAATGTGATTTTCAGACCTACCAACCCCTTGATATGTGGGAGAGGAGGATATTTTTGTGCATGTTGGAGGATTTTGTTTTCACTTAATTTGGCCATCTTTGAATTTGTTACAAGAAAATGGACATTCTTATAACAGCTTTTATAAGATAGATGTTTGGACAGACTTCTTCATATGTGACCTTTCTAATACTACTTGTTCTTTTACAAAGAGAATGTGAAGACTGTAACTAAAAAAGAACAGAAAAGTTTATAATTAGCCTAGCAAATATGTCCCAGAAATTAGTTTTGTGAGTCTTTGGCAGGGGTGAAGGGAGAGATGAAAAGAGTGAAGGTCAGTGCACATTGCATGAATAACAAATATGAGCAAAACCATCCTGTTTATTGCTATCTGATAATTTGATGAATAACCTACAGAATATATTTATAGTTTGGACGCGTTCAGATTCCACTGAGATCCTTCAACTGGCAAAGAGCCGTCATCTTATGGGGATCAAGCCAGGAAATGGTTGCTTCTCAGTTCTTCCTAAAGGAATCATCAGTGCAGGAAATCTGAGACTGAAATCAGTGTTTATTTTCTGTTTTTAAAATAACCTCAGATAATCACGTGATCTTTCTGTCCCGGGCATGTCCATGGTGCCTGTCACAAAGGCATATAAACCTTTTAATATAACAAGATTTATATGCATGTGAACAGTCCAGTGACATCAGCAGAGCTGTGTGAATTTACACAGCCATTTCCTTTCCATCATACTATTATCTCTCTAAAAAGGCCACTTCCCCAAATCCCTTTACACTCCAGAGCAAGGGTGCCCTACTTTACAGAGAGGAGCCCTCTATTTCATGGCATCCTCTAATTGAAGGGCTGTCCAGTCCTGGTCCAAGTTAAAAATAAAGAACCCTAAGAGAGGCAAGCAGGAGATCTTCAATAGTTGATTAGCTGTGAGCCCCTGGGCAGCAGTCTGAACACAGCTCACCTGGTCACAGTTATTCTGGTGAGATGTCTTGTAGTTCTACTTAAATGACAGTAATTAGTGTTGTATTTGCATTTATACATGCAAATTAGCACATTGTATTCATTAATTCACACATGCATGCATACGTGTATGAGTCAACTTTTTCTCCTAAGAGAGACCTCAAGAAAACTTACAGTTAAAACTTGCAGCAGTGTAAACACTTTAAAAAACTTTACATCATTTTGAAAACTGTAAAAACAGTTTATATTCTCAAAAAGATATGAGCATTTTATGAACATCTATGTGTTCATAAGATGCCCCTGTGGTGGACCACATGTGATACACAGTCTACCTTCATGCCCCACCTGGCCAAATTTCAGAAGTCCTCTGCACAACCAGTTCAGACCTTTGGAAGCTTCTCCTTCCCTAAACAGAGATGGAGATAAAAGAATGGGACGGAATGCAGTGGTCCTGCCTGCTGCTGGCATGTCCACCATACTGGTTTCCACCATCACATGTCGAAGGGGGAGCTGTCCCTCGTTGCCTGGACTGCCACAGGGACATCCAATGTCTATACCCCTCTCCCAGAGTACTTGGAATCTGCAAGCCCTCCTTCCACATCCTGCCCATCAAAGCGGCAATCAGCTTGCCTGCCACTGAAGAATATGAATAAACTGAGGATGAAGTTTTGCTTTCCCTTCTGTTCCATTTTTAACTATCAAGTTTGCATCCTGCTTGACTATTTGATAGCTATATGAGTTAAAGGCAAGCATGGGGTTAAGAACCCTGTCCGTTGTAGTTGTTTTCTTCAGGTCCTGGGAATAGTTGCAAACTGAAATCATGATAGGCTCTCACTCATTAACGTGTTCCCAGAAGTGCACTAAAACATAGATTGCTGGCTTGTGAGCCAAGTGTTAGCGCTTCGTACGGCAGTCCTATCATGTAAGGGCCTCACCATGCAGTGCTTCTGGACAGCTTTTTCCCCATCCCGCTACAGACTCAAACTTGGGAGGCTGTGCAGCGACAGAGTGCCAAAGATCAAACATTCCCTCAAGGATTAGAACTTGGGTGGGGCAGATTTACACAAGGCTGGTAGGCCATACCTGCCAGTATGTGATTTTACAAGCATATATTTTATGTGGAGCAGTACATAAATACATTCCCACACAATGGAAAAGGCCTCTGGATACATATTTATTTATTACAAGCATTTACATCCCGTCTTTCCGACAAGCGCTCAGGACAGCTTACACAATAATTACGCAATATTTCCATCCAACACAGTGGATGGAGGTCCTGTTTGGTGGCAGGTCCAGCGGCTGCCCTTATCACTATTCACGTGTGAACTAGGAGCTGGAGTGGTGGTGAAGCGATCACAATCATGACCGAACTCAATCCACATACCAGGAGCACTGGATGTTTTTCAGCTCAAGGACCAAACTGAATTTTGGAGGAACTCACAGGGTGGGTGGAAATGAAGGTGAAGCTGGTAGGATCAAAGGCCAAAGGATGAAGCCAAAATGCCTACATAGTTTAGCTTAAGCTCTTTCTGCCAGTAATTAAGGCTTAGGAGAGGGAAACTACTGTGCAAATGTGGTGGTCAGTGGAAAGGTGGAATGATCTAGAAAAGGAGAGATGCCCATTGGGAACTGTAGGGGCCAGACTGGGATGCTGGATTTGCCCACAAGCTTGAGGTTCAACTCCCCTGTTGCACAGAATCTGTCAACTCCTATTTAAGTGCAGTTTGAGGACCACAGTCGGTTGGCTGCCTGCTTTTCTGAGGAGGTGCTGGGAAAATTTCAAAAGCAGGTACATGTGAATGAGAAGAACTACACATCTCCTGCTGTGTGTTATACAAGAGATACTGCCTGCTATAGGTACAACGATGATGATTCCACTGCTCCTCAAAAGCAAACTTAATTTATTTTCATTAATAATGTTTCTCTGGGAAACTTTTAAGCATACGGTTTTTCTCAGATGGTCTTCAAAAACTATGTTTCCCTTGGCCAGTCTCCAAAGTAGTACAGTACCCATGTATTAGCTTAAAAATGTCCAGAGGCTACAGCTCAGTGTCCATTACCTTCTAGTTCTCAAATGTATTTGTCAATTTATGAACAGTATTTGCAATACAGTTTGTCGATACTGATGAGGCACAGTTTGTTGCAAAAAAATTCTTCTGTGGGTTTGGGCAGACCTATCCAGCTAAACGACAGCCGCCTGCTTTAAAAATAATAATGCTGGCAAGTTAGAGTCAAGGTTGGGGTGGAAATGCCATTGCTGATGATTCTTAGAATTAGACTGGACAAAAGTATGGAAAAAGAATGTAAGGAGAAGCAGACCGGATGGCTTAATAACTTTCTCTTCCATTGCTAACATTTGAGATTGAAGGGTGTTGTTCTTAGGGGGGGGGGGTTCAAATGTTTTAAGGACACAGTAGACAGGGAATGATGCATCACAAACTGTGTGAGTCAAAATATGGAAAGCTGTTCCTAAAGGCTGATTAAATTACTGCAGCTCATCCAACTATGGCAACTGAGGCAATTATGAAGCTCTACCTCACACGCTATGAAAATGGACAAATCTTACTTAGGGGCATAAAACCTTGAACCTCCAGATGATTAAACTAAAACCAATTTTACAGATAGAAAGCAATGGCTAGGAGGAAATGCCTGTGGCTGAGTATGGGTTGGACATGGGTTCCTATTGAACCATGTGTGTTGACAGACCAAGCTGAGATAACAGACCACCCACAACCCAGCAACAAACTATGGGTTATCTTCATGGGTTCTCCATGGTTAACAAACTATGGCTTGTTAGTGCAACTGGGTTCAGACAGCAAACTAACCCACATTGCAACAGCAGCCCACAGTTGAACAACCCAGTCATCCCATACTCAACACTTCAGTATGGGTCATTGTGTTGCCTGAGAATGTAAGCAGGCACTGGAAGCTGGCCATCTAATGTAATCTGCCCTAACATGAAGCTCTCTAGATGTTTTGGACTACAACTCCCCATATGCCCCAGTCCGGAGAGAACTGACTTCTAATGTACATAGTCCAACACTTATTTATTTATTTATTTATTTATCGATTTATATTCTGACTTTTTCCTACAAAGGGCTCAAGGCAGCTTATATCTCCTCCTCCATCTTATCCGCACAACAACAACCCTGTGAGGTAGGTTGGGCTGAGAGTCTGTGACTGGCCCAAAGTCACCCAGTTGGCTCCATGGCTGAGCGGGAACTAAAACCCAGATTTTCTGAGTCCCAGTCCCATGCTCTTAACCACTACACCACACTGGCTTATCCACTGGATCATATTGTAGTTCCATTACTTGGAGGGGAGGAAGAAATGTATATTCTCAGCAAAGTTTTGTATGATTTTTGTACCATCCTGTGATGCGTAGTTTTCTCGTTTACCACATCCAGGCTTTGAATAGGAATGTGGATTAAATCTTCTGTTTACACAGTAACTGATAGTGAAATATTCACACCTTTGTTTAGTGGATAGTAGATTTATGAGATCAACAGAAGCATTAGATATCGCATGAGAACAATTAGTTATTTAAGAGAATTTCTGTCCTCTTAGCTGGCAGTATAGAGCTAGTAATGGAAGGGAAGGACTAAGCAAAAATGTCATTTCTTAAAAAGATAAATATCCCTGCTCATTAACTTGCTTCCTGCTGGGAAAAGTCAATCACGCCACTGAATCAAGGTTCTTAAATTTTATTATAGCAAACCTTCTCAAGTAAGGAAAGATCAGTCTGAGCCTTTCGAAGTGGAACTAAGTGCCATCTACCCATTTGAAAAA